TGTGTAGGTAGGTAGGTAGGTAGGTAGGTAGGTAGGTAGATAAAGGGATATATATATATATAGAGAGAAATAGACAGAGAGATGGAGAAATACAGTAGGTAAGGAGGGAGGGAGAGAGAGTGTGTGTGTAGGTAGGTAGGTAGGTAGGTAGGTAGGTAGGTAGGGGGGATAGAGAGAAATAGAGATAGAGAAAAATACAGTAGATAGGTAGGGAGAGAGAGAGTAGTTAGGTAGTAGGTAGATAAAGGGATAGAGAGAAAGAGAGAGAGAGAGAAATACAATAGGTAGGTAGGGAGAGTGAGTGAGTGAGTATGTAGGTAGGTAGGTAGGTAGGTAGGTAGGTAGGGGATAGAGAGAGAGAAATAGAGAGAGAGAGAAATACAGTAGATAGGTAGGTGTTTCTGCTGGCACAGCACTTGATCAATGTAATTCTCACTAATCAGTTAAAGATTAGAATCAAGAGCAAAAGGAAAAAAAAGGTTTTGCACTCTGCAAACCTCTCCGAAATGGCCCATTTTTCACAAAAACGGGCCTGTTTCCCCCCCAAAAAAGGTATTAATAGCCTTGGGGAGGCTTGCAAAGTGTTCCTTCGGGGGGGGGGGAATGAGCAAAAAACAGCCCATTTTTTGTGAAAATGGGCCCGTTTTTAGTAAAAAAATATATGCATGTATAGCCTTATGTAGCCCTATAGAGTGCTGTTGGAGCCTGGGGGCAAAAAAGGCCTATTTTATGCTCATTTCTGCCCTCCCCAGCCCCCAGGAGCTCTCTGAAAGCCTTCATAAGACTATGCAAGGCCATTTTGGTGAAGGAGGCGGGGCATCGGGAGACAAATAATACTGTATTCGGTGTATAAGACGCACCCAGATTTTCAGCCTCTTTTTTGAGGAAAAAAGGTGCATCTTATTCTCCGTAAAATACAGTATTGTTATACCACACATGATCTTAGCCAAAAATTCTATTGGCTGTTATTAGAATAAACACATGAAATTCAATTAAATCAAGAAAAATATGGGAGTTCCAAGGGTAGTGCTTATTTTTCTATTTGTTTTGAAGACGACATAGAACATAATTGGGGGGAAACTTACATGCTATGATAGGATAGGGAGACCATCTATGTGGACTAAAAAAAAATTGTACAAAATCAAGCCCATCTTTGCATTATAGAAATAAGATAATGTTTCATATGTATTTGTTCCAACCATGGTACTGTTCCACCATATTTATATAACTGATACCTGGGGGAAAACTAAGCAATTTTCTTCACATTGTTCTACTTAGATAAAAATGGAACTGTATTTGAAATAGAATACTCTTTTAGAGGCAACAGTGAAAGTGTAAGTTGATATTCCTTCCCTTCATGCTTCCTTAGGATGTGACACCAACTCTACTTCCTTTGAGCAAGAAACATTTAGTTCTTTCAAGGATCACTAGAGGGCACCTGACCTCTTATTTATAGCAAAACGGCAGTCTGGGATTAAATGAATAATATGAACAATCTATTCTGTTGCTGTAGCTTTCCTCAGTTGTGTATTCTTCAGATGCGCCATAATCCCATGCATTTTTGGGTGCTTCATCTTTGAGTGGACCAGTTTGAGGAAAGCTTCTCTATGGAATCCTAGCCTATGTGAATTGAGTGCAAAGTTCCCTGGATGTGGGCTTTGTGTTCTCTGACAAACAAAACCTTTTTTGTACTCAGCTAGACAGTTTTTCATCAAAAATCCATGCAAATTATATAAAAATACATATTGATTACTCAGTTGAGATAAACGAAGAATCAATTTCTTTTGATTGACTGACAATACTAATTTAAGAGAAATATAATAGAAAGACTTGACACATAAACACAATTTTATTATTAAACCAAAAGAGTACCTTCAAGCAGTAACAGCACTCCACCAGAGGAGTTTAAAAAGCATTCAGGGTCCCAACCATTGTAAGCCAAAAGATTTGCTATAAGATGTTGGAGAGGTCCCGAACAATATTAGCTTTCCCCTGGATCGCTAGTCTCTGGAGTATTCTGACATTTGCTCATCTTTGTCTTGGAAAAGGACATGTGCAAGAAGGGCCAAAATATCAGTTTTGGGCAAGACCTCCATATATAGAACACATTGAATACTTCTGCACAGAGGAAGTACTTAACACTTCAGAACTGTTTTTTAAAAAATAAAGTTATTCCATTCCATAGATTTTGGACGTCATACCTGAAATGTGTTAAATGTCTCTGAATATCCAGATCTAATATTGGAGTAGGTCTTGAGGAACCCAAAGGTGACCTGTCTTGGCTTAGGAGATCCTGGAATTCTTTACATATTTGCCTAGAATCAAAATAGATGCATACTCATTAAGGTTACTTACCATATTCATTGAATAAATGCTTTATTCATACCACATATGCTTCCCTCAGCACAATTATATCAATATAATATATAACTAACACCACTTTACGTAAATTTCTACTAGAAGAATGGATTACACTAGAGGCAAATGAATGCTGTTTACATAGCAGAATAGCTTACTTTCTTCCTTTGTCAGTGGTCAATAGAAAAAAAAACCACTGGTTGACCTAAATGTTAAGATTATGAAGAACAAATATGCATCCTTAAAATTTTTGGCAGATCCCTCTGAACCCTTCCAAAAGTGGCCATTAGGTTTGTCAGTTTTTTAATGTGCCAGAAGGCAGACATTATGAAAGAGGTGGGAAGGGATCATATCAATTGTGTAAATTTAAAGAAAAAGTTAATTCATGTTATGGCATTGCTCATTCCTTATCCTGGTTCCATTCACTTTTCAGTACACATTCATCTTCTCCTCTCCGCTCCAACCCCCGCACCCTTGCTTCTGAACCTGCTATGTGAAAACCACATAGTGGGACTCTTGTCTTGAGAAACATCATTCATACATTATAAGTTACTGGGTAGGATGCACCAGAAAAGATTATCTAACTATCACCATGCATACCCACACCATCAAATGGAAATATTATTCAGTCAGAAGCCACGAAGACTTCTTGGCCCTCTTCTCCTGGACACATTTGGATGGCATGCCATAGATGCCGGACAAAGGTCTTTCCTTGTTGTTTTTTTCCATTACTACCTCTTTAGCTATATATTAAAAATTCAAATTAAATAGGCCTGGTATTATTTTAAAATGAAAGTAGAATGCACATAAGTTGTATTATTTGAACTGTACAGCCTGAAAAGCTATAATGAAAACCATTAGAGTGAGTGAGCTTCCTTCGGAGGTAGCAGATTAAGCAAAAGCTATGGATCTCTTGGCAGAAAAGTCTCACTTTGAAAGGGTAGGCTGCCACATATGCAGATGCACCAATTGGCTTGCTTTTGTCTTAGTAAATGTTTTAAGATTCTGTTTGGTCATGGCAGCATAATTGTTTTTTATGGTTCCTTTGGGAAGCTACAGAGCCCTTTATAATAAGGCCAGCTTGCCTCTGGTATGTTTGTGCATTTTAGAACTTCTGATTGTAATGCCTGCATGTGGCCTAATAAAAGGGGAGGCTTGTTTTCTGCCACTTTAAGTCAGTTTGGTGATTTTTTTTGGATCGTGGCATGCTGATATAGCCAAAGGGGATTCTTTGAAGAGGGGTTACACATCAAGTAGGAAAGAGGTTTCCCTTTCAAAGGAAACAGGAAGCTTGCTACTTTTATGAAACCCTTTGATACTGTATGTATTCTTTTCAGTAACCTCCTTCTTCTCACCAGGTTTCAAGTCGTGGCCAGGCAGAAATACAAAGACACACCTTAGTGGACATGGCTGTCCTTGGCTATAAGCACCTGCTTAGAACTTGTGCAATATAATGTGGGCAGCCTGATTGATAAACACATTTGGCTGGATTCTTATAAATGAAACCCAATACAGTCCATAAGACCACTTAAATCTGGTTTATGTCATATACCTTGAATGGTTTGTGGATCAGATTATAATCCTACAATGAACCACAGAGTTGTAAAGAAACCACGTTAAAGTCCTGCTGCAGTCAATGGAACTACCTGAGTCTTTTGTTTATATGCCAACAGCATGACTTTATTCAATGCAGCCAATATACTTTGTCCACTGTGCTATGAAAATGATGAATTAGGAGATCAAATACACCTTATTATGTTCCATGAGTTAGTACAAATTTGAAATAAAAAAATAATATGAAGCAGACCTGGGCATATTTGTTTGAGTAAGTTCTCGCTGAACAATTTGATAACCTCTAGAATTGGCCTGAGAATTATCAGTAGAATTTGATTATTATATTACTACAGAAAGTATGTATGAATGCTTTTTCCCCCAAGAATGTCTTCTTAAATCCATAACACCTGTGCACAGTTTATCAGCATTTCTTAAACTGTTTGACAAATGCTTAATTTATATAATAACATAAGAATTCCATAGATAAAGAATAATTGATTTCTATGTTTCATTGCCGTAGTTAGCTTCTAGACTCACAGGTGAACAAGGTAGCATTTAAACAACCTACTTCGTTGCTAGGATCATTTTTTTCCTTGCTGTCTGTTCCTTCTGTTCCATGTGTTGCCTGGCAAGATGTTCTCCAACTGCCTTGGCTGGGAATTCAGTTTCACATGTATAGCCAAAGTCCCTGGCCAAGTGCAACGCTTCTCCTGTGACCAGACAAAACACCAGTGAATTATACAAGCAGTGTTTTTTTTAAAGTGGACTCTTTTAAAGTTTTGGTTAGTTAAAAAGACTCTTGTTTTTTTGCCAGAGATGAATCATTCAGGAATATCACTGCCCATGAGAAGACACCACCACCTTATCCTTTTAAAATCCATAAACAGCAAGGAGAAAAACCAACAGCAGCTTTTAACATTAGGAGGTTTCACTTGAATAGAAAGAAATGGAATTAAATTCTCAGCTGAATTATTGCTTCCATTCCACCTCTTCCAGTGCTATCGTTGGATGGAATGAAAGCTGCTAGGTAAAAGCTAAGAGTGGGATCTAATGGAAGTTGCCCAAAGAAGGGAGTGAACCTCCCTCAATCCCTCCCAAAAAGAATATTGTAATCCTTGTTTAGTACTCTCCAAGTAGAGAATTAGAAACAATTACCTCCTCCCCAGGTCTTACCATATTTCTACAGGATTTTCCTACTACTTTCTATTACTTTTCAGCACTTACAAGCACTTTGTGAGTCTGTGTATTTTGTCACTGTTTTGTTTCCTTTGGATCTTTCATGTAGTATTCATTTGAAGGGTCTCTACACTGCGCCATAGGCCAATGGGACTGAGATGCTGGATGGTTTGCTCAAGGTTGTCCCTGTGGCTTGACCAAAAATAAATCCTCACCTCTGAAGCCAAGCTTGAGCTACATGGTTTTGTTCATCCCATCACCCAGGTGTCAAGCATGTACTCTGTGCCTTGATAGTCTTTCTTCAGAATTGCAATCCAATTTTGAAGAAGCCAATGCAGTTGTTCACATGGTAGAGGCATACCATGTGAACAACTGAAGTGGGTGAAGCAACTATATACCAATACTAGCCTTGTCATTATTTCTTACTTATATAAATCGGAGGGATTCAATTTTTCCTCAACTTTTCATCTGTGTGACTCAAATTCAGTTCATCATACTCAAGATTTGTTTCAGTGTTTGTATTTGTGTGAATGCTTAGTTAACCAAACAATTCAGTTTTCTTCGCATAATTATTTGTTTGATTTATATAGCCATACATCGCAAAGAACTGAGCCTGGGCAGCAAACAATCATAAAACAATTAAAAACAGTTACAAAGTTAAATATATATGGCAGCCAAGGAAAAAAAATCATCATAGATGTCAATACAGCCAGAAAACAGGACTCTTAACACACTTGGGGCCTTAGGCCTGGACACAAAACCAGGTCTTCTTATAAAAGGCCAGGAGGATTGGGGCCATCCTCAACTCTGAATGGAGAATGTTCCAGAAGGCTATGGAAGAGAAGGCACATCAACTAGTCTCCACCATTGGACATTCCTTGGCTGATGGGACATACAGCATGCACAGCCTAATGTCAGCATTTTGCCTAATATACCCTATTCTTCTAAAATATTTTCTACCACTGTGTATGTGTTGATGCATTTGATTTCTACCTTACATATATTTTTAATTGGAAAATTTCATGGAAAAATTAAGAAATGTCTGCATTTTAAAGTCTAAAAAAGCTCAGGAAGTTAATCATAAAAGTTAAAGTAGAAAACTCTGTATCTCAATGCCAGATAAAGACATTTGATGTTATCTTAACATAGTCACAGATCACAGCCTTGTGATCCATTGACATATAAATAACATGTGAAAGAACTTGTATCTTGTCTTTTTATGTACACTAAGAGCATATGTACCAAAGACAAAATTCTTGTATGTCCAATCACACTTGGCCAATAAATAATAAATAAATAAGCTGAGGTGGCGCAGTGGTTAAAGTGCAGTACTGCAGCCAGTTCAGCTGACTGCTAAGCTGCAGTTCAGCGGTTCAAATCTCACTGGCTCAAGGTTGACTCAGCCTTCCATCCTTCCGAGGTGGGTAAAATGAGGACCCAGACTGTGGGGGCAATATGCTGACTCTGTAAACCGCATAGAGAGGGCTGAAAGCCCTACGAAGCAGTATATAAGTCTAACTGCTATTGCTATTGCTATAATTCTATTCTATTTTATTCTATTCTAACTTTATTCAAGAAAAAAAACTGTTGACAGAACATTTAAACAACATTTGCTATTTTTAATACTTGCTGGCTTGGGCTTATTTGATAAAATGGTGGTAATTTTGAGGAAGTGCCAGTTCACAATCACCCTCTTCTCCTTCTCTATTGTTATAGGTCTGTGAGTAAATATGGGCTTTGTATGTATGCATAAGTACATGGGTGAACATAGCGGGCTTATTTCCTTGTTTGCTATATTAATCAGGAACACCTCTGTTGTATCATGAAACTCATGTTGTTTTCAATAGACTGCAATCTTACTTGAGAAAAGGATGATTCAGCCCAAAGTACTAGAAGAATAAATGTTGGCTATAATGCCTGGAAAGAAAGTTTATAATAAATAGTTACAAGAACGAGAAAAACAATGAGGAGCAGAATTCTCTTCTGATGTATTGCTATCCTAGCCACATCTTTGATCCAGAGAAGCAGCCACATAAAGAAAGACTGATAGATGAACAGGCACAAAACCTAGTCTTTAAAGCACAAATGGAAGGTAGATATTAGACCTCTCCAAGAAAAAAGACCCTTCTTTGATAAGTTGTAGGAAGGCAGTGGTTGAAAATGGAGATGAGCGAGTAGCATATCCTGATTTGCGGAGAAAAATTGGGTTCTTCTTATAGTTAGGGGAGACCCCCAAGGAAGGACAAGACAAGAGACGCATGGAAAAAAAATCCTTTCGTCCCCCTTTCTATTTTCTAGAATTGCTATGGACATTGCTGGTCCCTTGCCAAAGTCAGCCAAAAGAAATCAGTCTAGCCTTGTAATTTCTGATTATGCTATGAGATGCCCTGCAGCAATTCCCTTCTGCAGTTACCACAAAAGTCATTGCCAATGAGTTGCTTAAACTGTTCAGTAGAGTGGGTGTACCTAATGAGATTTTCACAGATCAAGCCCCAAACTTCCAATCTGCTTTGCTAAAGCATTTATATATAGCACTGGGGATATCTGGCAGGAGAACCCACGGACAGATGGATTAAATGAATGATTAAATCAGACTCTGAAAATCATGTAAAAGAAACCTGCCCAGGACGATTCAAACACTGGAACGTCTGCCTTCCTTATATAGAGAAGAGTCACAGGCTTTCCACAGGAAGCAGCCCTTTTAAGTCATGCTGTGTGGAAGATAACCAAGAAAAGTCATAGATGGGGTGAAGGACAGTTGGACTAATAACGTTCCGAATAAAGTTCTCAGTCAAGGAGAAAAACTGCAGAAACTAGGTGACAAGGCAAGGAACACCCAAAACTACTGCCAAATATACGAAATGCAGGTATGATATAAAAGCCAGAAACAAATAACTAGAAGGGGGCAGAGAGAGTGTTGCCTGCCAGGAATGCAAAATGCAATCCACAAAGCAGAACCTGCCAACTGCAAAATAGACTTGAGGTTGAAGAAACCACAGCCTGTCATGTCAACCAGCGGATTGAAAGAAAACAGCCAAGTCTAGAATTGGATTATTCAGCAAAACAATTGTAAACCTGCTTGTCACATATACTCATACCGAATGCATTGAGACATGGGTAGAATTCAGCTATCTTCACAACAAAAAGCAGATCTAAGAAGTCTTCAGTGATATTTTTACAAATAAGCCAGGCACTACTACATTAGTAGAGCACAGAAACAGAGATCATATGGCATATCATATTACAGAGATGCCTGAAGAAAGAAGAAAAAAAAATCTGTTCTTGACTAGTAAAGCAAGCAATTGTTTGATAATTAGCCTGGCCTAAGAATAGATAATCTAATAAACACATATGGAAAATACTTATTTACTTTGGATTTAAGTAAGGGCTATTGACAAATTTCTTCCAAGAAAACTCTACCAGAAAGTTCAGTTGCCTCTTGAAAAAAAGCATCTTTGGGACAAGCATGACCTGGATGACTGGGAATCTCCATAGACTCTCCCAAAGTGAACGCTTCTCCTGTACAGGCAGTCCTCATTTAGGACTCACAACTGGGAACCACAACTCAGTCATTAAGTAAATTGGTTACGATGTGAATCCATGTCTTTACATGTGAACTTCAGCTTTCCTTTGCTTTACGGATCAGCAAAGCTTATAAATGTGAGGATTCTTTGCAAAGGCATATATTTGGCTGGTAGGGTGCTGCAGAAGATTGTCCAGGCTGAAAAAGGGGCATGTATGCATTAAGGGACTGCACATGCCCCCCCTCT